AGGAGACTCTGAATGCAGACATCGCTGTGTTGGTTGAAAACCTGCTTGAAGCAGAGCTGCAGCGTATCCACAAGTACATCAAAAGGTAAAAACATGGATAATGAAGGCACACGAGCAAAACAAAACAGCACCAAGAATCCCAGAAACGTCTTTCTGCAGTTTTTAAATATTCTTCTTCCTCATCTACCAGGTGGCGTGACGTGGTGGCTGTTCGCCGTCAGCTGAAGCGACAGATGCGAGGCTTTCCTGCAGCCCCTTGCTGCGTTGACCCTCGCTTCAAACTGAAAGCTCTGGCTCCCAGCGCCCCTGCTCAGCCCTCCATAGCAGATCTGGCTCGTGGTTTGGTCAACCTGGGAAATGCTGGCATGTTGGCGCTCTCCAGCACCAGGTGTGTGTATCTCCTGTCCTCTCCTGTCTCCTGTCAGTGTTGGACGATGAGCACAGTTCCTTTGCTGTAACATGTTTTCTGTCTGTCCAGGTTGTACGATATGAGACGAGGAGCAATCCACCAGATGAGAGTTCACTACTACTTTCAGCAGCTGCTTGAGTAAGTCCTGTTCCTGTGTTTGTTCAGTCAGCAGTCCGTGTCACAAAGTGTCATTTTGACCTGTTTCTGGCGTCGCCCTCAGCGAAACAGTTTGGGCGCCTCTCGACCTCCCGGCGCTGGTGACGGAAAGCATCCCCAACGCACCCGAGCGAATCTTCTGGAAGGCCGTCGTTCTTTTACCCAGCAACCATGAGAGCGTTGCCAGCGTGGCAGACAGGTGCTCTAATGCCCTAAAGATATTCTAGGCCCGGTTTTCTATGAACATTTCACTGATTGTGTCCTGTCTGTTATGATTTCAGGATCCTCTCTGACTGGCTGGAGGTGAAGCTTGGTGGGCATAAGGAGTCAGAGGGCAGGGAGGAGCAGCCAGAGGGCACCCTGCAGACACTGACTGTCACCAACACGCTGCAGGAGAGCGGACAGCGCACTCACAAAGTCCACATTAGCATCAAGGTCAGATCACGCGGGGCATGCAGAAATAGAAATATGATTATTCAGAGCAGAGCTGTGCTAGAATCACAATAGACAGGAGCTTCACGTTAGGTTAAATGTTTTAAGGCTGAAGCTGAAAGGCTTGTGTGAAGAAAAATAACTAGAATTGGCTTAAAGGGTAAAGAAGAAGCAGCTTTTTCAGGGACATAAATCATGTTTTGCTGAGATTAAAAGTACCAGAAGTCCGTTAATGATCAGAAAAAAAAAACGGTTAGGAATTATATTTTAATATTTCTTTCCCCACCCCGCAGGTGTCTCGAGGTCCGCTAAACGAAGACGGCCTGTCAAAAATGGAGGAGAGTTGTGAGCTCCAGGGGACGAGTGCCCTCATCATGCTGCTGCCCGCCCTGCCCACTGTGGAGCCTGATCAGGACGAGCAGGACGTCCCGCTGTTGTCCGCCTTGCTTCAGCTCAAACAGCTACAGCAAGCCAGCGCCTGGCACTGCCCACTGCCACTCGTCATCCTGGTACCAGGGCTAGACGGGGGCGCTGCTGATACACAGAAACTTGTTGAAGGTGAGAAATGGTAGTGAAGACAGCACGAAGAGATTTCTGTAGTAGTTGGTAAATGAGTGTTTTTAAAAAAGCTTCATCTCTTCTAGCTCTGAAGCTGCACACACTGGTGACGGACGGCCTGATATCGGAGTATACGTTCTTCTTCATACCAGAGACCACTAATGATCTGCAGGGATCCAAACAGGTACGCATTTGCTCCTTTGCCATCATGGAGGTTTTTTTTGGTCTTGCTTTTTTTTCGGTCTTGCTTTTTTTTCTTTACTGACCTTCTCCATCTTCTCTCCGTCCTGTTGTTTGTCTTCAGATAAACCAGGCCGTGCGCTGGCTGGCTCTCCGTACTCTGCCACCTTTCAGTCTAACCTGTAAGACCCTAGTGGAGCTCATTGAGTCCACCTTAAGTCATGAATTCAGTCCCAGAGTTTACTCCCACCGGTTGGAGCGAGCTACCGCACATCTTCCATCCCAGGATCCAGCTCCTGTCGTTCAGCTTTACAACGCAGTCCTGACTCACGTTGCTGATAAAGTGGCATCTCAGGAGCTCTGCGGGCTCTCATGGCCTCCGGGCGAATTCTGTCTGCCTGACATGAGGGATTTTGTGCCTCATCTGGCCTGGAACTCCTACCAGCACCTGGCCTGGCTGCGGGAAATCATCCTCAGCCTGCAGCTGCCAGAGTGGGAGCAGCTGTCCGCAACAGGTCAGTTTCACACAGAAAGAGATTTATCTTCCACAAAGATATTCAGAGGTTAATAATCCTATTTTATATATTTAATCATCTTATTTCTCTCTTTAGACTCGTGGTCTGAGCTGTGCTCCTCCATCTTTCGCTACGCCGCTAAGATCCCGGTCTCACGTCGCAATCAACCCCTCCTCATGTCTCGACTCGAAAACCTTCTGGAAAGAGTCAAGTTAAAGAGTCGGCGCACCCGAACCCCCGGATACGCTGGAGAAGACGATGTATGTGTGGACTTCAGTTTGATTCCTTGGGATGACGTGCTGGTGATCTGCATTGACCACAAGCTGAAGGACTGGCAGATACCTAAACCACCTGTCTGCCAAGGTGAGGACCATGCTGCTGTAATTAATTAAAACTAAATTTGAGACTAACTAAAACCATATAGAGCACTTAATAAATTTGCCAAATACAATAAAAATGTAAAGACAATGTCTTAAGTTTTAGTCTTTGTCAGTTTGGTCTAATTTTCTGTGGAAGATCATCTTAAAAAAAATGCCTATTTTCCACTTTGCTATTGATGTTTTTGACCCATAATTCCTATTTATTGTTTGTTTTAAGATGCTGTGACAGAGGATGGAGAGATCCTGGTTTATTTCCCCAAATACTCACTGAAGGGCTTCCAGCCGCCCGAGGAGTGGACGGAGGCCATGAGGCAAACTCACAGAGAGAAGCAGCAAGAGAAGGAGGGGTAAGGAGGCCCAGGAAAACCCCACAGGTTGTCAATGCCTCTGAGACATGCGCATCTTTCTTTTAATCTGACAGCACCTGAATGTGCAACACTATTGTGCAGTGCATGAAGCAAAAACTCATACTCCCCAAAAACAGTCCTACTTAAATGCTCTAAAGCCGGCGTCATGGTGGCATCCTTGGAGCGCCTCCTTTGCTCTTCCTTTGTTCCTAATTCCTCCGGTTTTCTCCCTCCTCAGGGTGAGTGCAGCTGCTTATGCCACACCCACCACGGCGACCCTCAGGCAGAGGTTGTTCCACAGTCTGGTGGAGCCCGTCGAGGCTACGTCAGCCCCGCTGGACATCACCCACACGCCCACGCCACCGGAGCTGCTGGCCCACAAAGTCCTGCAGAGCTTAGAGGAGGAGAAAGCTGAAAGCAAGAGGTATACCTACATCACTGCATGTGATGGTCATGGATTAGGGTGGTGGGGCTCACACAGGTAGGGAGTTTTAGCCCCAGACTAGATTTTTATGACCATAAGGCCATCCCACACCCACCAGTTCAAGTGAACCTCAGTGAACCTCATGGCAGTTTGCAAAATCATCCCAATTTTATTATAATGAGAATTTTCCACTTCTTTTGTGTCCCCTATGAGCAACTTTTCATCTGCTGGGTATCCAGGAGCAAACCATTACACCCTGATTCATTTTCTGCTGCGTTCGTTTCATTTTTGATTCAATATTAATTAAGAAGTCCCTGAAACCCTTGCGCAGATTCAAAAGGTTCTTGTTGACTGAAGATTGTTTTTAGCCATCTCTAGTGGAGCTAAACTTGAGAGCAACTGAATTTGGGCCTGAAAGAAAGAAACAAGAGCATTGTAATCAGAATGAACTCATAATCATCACAAGTCAAAATTGTGATTTTTAAATTGAAGTTTGATTGACTGGGGAGTCCGACAGTAAACACACCCTCTCTGCCTTTCTGCAGGAGCATGGAGCAGCTTCAGTGCTGGGTGGATGGCGACCCTTTGGAGCAATTGACCACCCCGCTTTTCCTCCCATCCTCCACCCTTCTGTCCATGCCCACCACCATAAGGCACACCCCCACAGCCAGGACTCGAGAGGCATCTTTCACACAGGTACGACTGTTTCCCGACACTGAAATAGGTTCGCTGTTTAAGCTGCTACAGATAAAGAAAATCTTTTATCTTTCCAGGAGCCTGATGATCCTTTGGAAAAAGTGACCCGGCGTAAGACTGCTCCTGAATCTTTGACGTGGCGACTGAAGGAGCTGGAACGCCAGATTTTGGCAAGCCAAGAGGAAGAACTGGCCTGCAGGCTAAAGCTGAGCGGCATGCTGAGCATCGTCGATGACTGACAGCACTTGAAGCAAACAGAAGTGTTTGCATCTTCATACCTGTCTGTGACATGATCATCACCTTTTCATCTCAGTGTGGTCGGGTTCACGGACTACAAATAGGAGTGTGGGTTTTTTTTGTTGTTGTTGTTGTTGTTGTTGTTGTTATTTTAAACATGAAAATGTATATTTTTAGCACTGGATTAACTTTGTAACACTGACTCCGGATTTATTGTTGTTTATTAAGAGTGTCTCTGTGTAACTAGCACATTAAACGCTGGGGATTGAACTCCTTTAATCCCACATTATTATTGAATATATAATTGTTGAATAAAAGTGGAATATTTTTCTTGTAAAACCGTTTGTCATTGTTATCATTGCTTTATCACTGTCCAGCTGTGAGCCACATGTGTATGTTTATCTGAGCAGCTCTATGATTCCACGACCTCACTGTAAACTCCGCCCATTTCCCCTCCCACTCGGTTTGTGATTGGAAAGCCGAGTCTCTGCTCATGTCTCTCCATGTGGAGAACTCCTCGGACGGGCTTCGCATGGCCTCCTGGGAAGTGGAGTCTAAGATGTACTAAACTCGCTGCACTCGCTGCCCTCTCAGGACTACAGTTCCCGTGGAAACACTGGAAGGGGCGGAGCTTCGGGAGCTCTTGAGATGAGATTCATTCACGTATTTTAGCGGAGGGTTTGACTGATCTGACAGCAGCTATGACTGAGGGAACGTGAGTTTTTGGCTTCTTTCATTTAACAACTATGAGATTTTAATTTCAGTGAGAATTTTACCTGAATAAATAGGACGATAATAATAAATAAATCATTCATAGTGCACGTTTTTGTCGTAACTCTAAGAAATGTTTAAGAAAACATTAGTGAAATGTACTTGTTAATGAGCTCAGGAATTATAAAGACTTTTTAGAAAGCTAAAATTTGGGGATGGGATGCGAGAGGTCGGAGCCAGGTCTTACCTGCTCATGAAACAGGTTGAAAGTCAAGTGTTTAATAACCTTTGAACATTTGAAAATGGGGTCTGTATGTAAAATTGCTCTAATTTATAAAAATGAAACAATATTTTGTTAAATCTCTTGAAATCAAGCTGGAAGTCTGCACTTCAGTCACATCTGTAAAAGGCAATCTACAGAAGTGTTTCCTTCTTCAAATACTCTTTCTGCCAGGCACCTGCGGAGGCGAGGGGGGCCGTATAAGACGGAGCCAGCCACAGACCTAAGCCGCTGGAGGCTGACCAATGTGGAGGGCCGGCAGACGTGGCGGTACCTGGAAGATCAGGAGACCGCAGACAGAGAGCAGAGAATGCTGGAGGCCCATTCACTCGGCTTGGACACGGTGGGCTCCTCTCAGTTGTTTCCCATCTTTTACAGCTTTTGAGTTGACTGTTTGGCTCTTACTGGAAACTGGATTTCTCAGAGCGACACAGTAAACTTGAGTATCTTTAAACTTTGTGGATGACCACGGTGGGTAGTAAGATCACTGATTCTCTCCACAGAGTAAGTTCGTGTCCGACTCTCCAGCCGCCCACACTGCTGTGGACGCCGCAGTGAAAGGCATGCACTTCTACAGTCAATTGCAGGCCGAGGACGGTCACTGGGCAGGAGACTATGGAGGGCCTCTCTTCCTGTTGCCAGGTGAGTCTAGTCATCCTCCTTATCCTGATGTCTGTAGTGACCGTGCAAAATAAAGTGAAGTTTCTCATTGCATCATTGGAGATGTTCCCTGTAAAGCACTGCCTTTACAGGGAACAGAGTCTTGTCTTCAACCTCCAGTTGTGAATGTAATGGTAGAAAAATAAAGGTGCAAATTCAGTACACATTAATGTATTTATGGCAGACTAACTGTGAAACCCAGGAAGGTTTGAACCCACCATTTATTTATTTTTGTATGTGTGTGTGTGTGTGTGTGTGTGTGAGGCAACAGTTTTAACCTTTGCACCATCAGTGACGGTGATGCAGAATGAATCAGCAGGAGTACTGACAGGGACTAGAAAGAGAGAGCATCACTTGTATTGGTTTCTCTCCATTGACTCCCTCTTATATTCAGAATTTAGTTTAAAATCCTGCTCCTTACATACAAGGCCCTGAACAGTCAGGACCCATCTTATCTTAAAAACCTCATAGCTCTCAGACTGCAGGCTCACTTGTGGTTCCTGGGATGTTAAGAGTAGAATGGGAGGCAGAGCCTTCAGCTTTCAGGCCCCTCTTCTGTGGATTCAGGAGACAGACAGCCACTCTGCTTTTCAGATTTAAGATTAGGCTTAAACTTTCCTTTATGATAAAGCTTATGCTTCAGGCTGGATCAGCTAACCCTGAATCCATCCTTAGTTACGCTGCAATAGTCCCAAGCTGCTGGGGGATTCCTATATGCACTGAGTGTTTCTTCTTCACCTCTTTATGCACCACTATAACACTGAATCTTTAGCAATTATTAACGCTGGCTCTCTGTGCCATAGTTTGTCTTTTGTCCATCTCCCTCCTCGTTCACACAGATAACTGTCCCTCCCTGAGACTGGTTCTGCAGGTTACCTGTTCAAATGGAGTTTGTCCTTTGTTTTGATTGTTGGTGTTTTCTCTGTATTAGGGTCTTCAATTTAAAATATAAAACTGCTTGAGGTGGCTGTTGTTGTGAATTGATGCTATATAAATAAAACAGGGTGTGAGGGATTTCATGTCTCTGTTCGGGTGCTTCCACAGGTCTCCTGATCACCTGCCATGTCGCTAAGATCTCTCTGCCTGAGGCTTGGAAGAAGGAGATGGTGAGGTACCTGCGCTCAGTCCAGCTCCCTGATGGAGGCTGGGGTCTGTAAGTCAACAGGTTTTTTTTTTAAATATTCTTTTAATGTTCATATCACCATACCAACCTTATCACTCATGTGGAACCGATATCAGTAATAACTTGGATTCCAACCTGTTATTACATCAAAACTCTTACCAGATTTAAATAAGAACCAAATACAGAGACAAACAAACAAATAAGAAGCACTGAGACACAAAGACTAACACAAAACACGATGGCAGGAGAAGTAGAAAGACATCAAACACATTTAACAGCACATATAACAGAGAGGCAAGTTTAGTGCTGCTAAACTGCTCTAAAATGATCCCAGGACAGCACGTTTCCAAAGTCAACTTCTCAAGCGCTGATCACAGCAGCAGTGAGCATGTGTGTGTCACTTCTGCAGACATGTTGAAGACAAGTCCACCGTCTTTGGCACAGCGCTGAGTTACACCTCACTTCGGATCCTGGGAGTGGATCCCGATGATCCAGACATGGTTCGTGCCAGGAACAACCTGCACAGCAAAGGTCTGTCATGTTCAGTGTGCGTTTTTCTCCATGGTGTCATGTTTTCAGCTGCAGTGTACCATAGCGCTCTGTGTTTATCTGGTACAGGTGGAGCAGTTGGGATTCCCTCGTGGGGTAAATTCTGGTTGGCCATTTTGAACGTCTACAGCTGGGAGGGAATGAACACGCTCCTGCCTGAGATGTGGTGAGTGGGAGATGATTTCCAGACTCGTGTGCAGCTCTGTGGCCTCTCACAGGTGTGTTACATGAAACAAGAGTTTAACCCTCTGCGGCGTTGTTGGTCATGACTCTGACCCTGACTTGTGGTTTTTCTAAGTAGAATGGAAGTCAGACTGATCATTTTCCCTCAAATATAAATGTTCCAGGATTCCTGACGTGTTTCTGTCTCTTCCAGGCTCTTCCCCACCTGGATGCCGGCCCACCCCTCCACCCTGTGGTGTCACTGTCGGCAGGTCTACCTCCCGATGAGTTACTGTTATGCCGTCAGACTGGCCGCAGACGAAGATCCCCTGGTTCTCAGCCTCAGACAGGTGTGGAGTCCACCGTGTTCCACATGGGGGCGCCATGCTCCAACACAGTACGGCCAAACGTATTCAGTGTTGTGCTTTGCATCCCAGCTGTGGCTTACCTGGTGATGTCATGTGGACATGACATCCTCTTAAAGTTTAGCACAAAAACATTCCTGCTGTTACTGTAATTAAACCTGATCCTCTTTGCCATTAATGATAATTAAAATAATGATAATATTAGTAAATATATCAGCGTTAGTAAAAATAGAGAATGACTGTGAGCATCTGTGGAGTTACCTGCTGTACAGGTAGGCCTGTGTTTTAAAAGGTTTTCTAGGTTGATTCAATTAATCCTCAGACAGTCAGAAATATTATAATTCTGATCATTTATCAGTACTGATACATATGAGACTTCATCAGAATTGTGACCATCACAGCAGATGCCTTTGTGTGAAAGTAACTGAGAATAAAACAGAAAAACATGAAGGAGATTTTTCTGGCCTGGCTTTTTATAGCAGATAACCTTAAAAAATATTCTGCAATATTCTGTAATTTTGCATAATTTTAAAAAGTTTTAATTTCTTCAGTATTGAACAGCAGAAATTAGGCTTTCTTGTCCGAGGTCCTTTAAGTGAAAAAAAGAAAAAGACAGTGCTGTAAACAACGGTAGACTGTTGGGTAATAAGCGAATGAATAATGCAGAAAACAGAGATTTGAGACGGGAAACTGTTCTTGAAGTAAAGAGAGAGAGAGAGAGAGAGAGAGAGAGCTGTGCAGGAAGTGTGATTTTTTTTATTGTGGTGGAAGCAAACCAGCAAAACTCAGAGGGAATTCATGACGATGTTTATCAAATGTGAAGCGCAGTTTGATGCTTCTTTTGCTGCTGGCTCGGTGAATTTTGGTTGGAGAGAGACTAAACCTGCAGCTCAGAATCAGCGCAAAAAGACATAAAAACAGAGCAGACCAGACGCATCAGAATCGCTGAGCTCCGACGGCGTGTCCGTCTACGGGCCGTCGGGTGAGAAAGCCGAGAAAGACAAAGCTGATTCTGATGCGTCGGGTCCGCTCCGTGTTTACGTCTTTGTGTGGAATCCGTGTACCTGCTCTCATTTGCTGTTTGGTGGTTGTTGAAATAGTTTTGTGAGCTTTAATCTGAGAATTTGGCGTTTCTGGCAAAACACAGTTATATTTAAAAGTCAATTCAGGATTTAATGAGTCGATATCGCTTTATTCAAGCTACTCACCTCCCTCTTCCACCTGCACTTTCAACTGGACCACGGCCGATCAGAGAGGTCCCGCCCCTGACTGTCTCTGATTGGTTTAGTCCACGATAGGGGCATAACGTGTGTCTGTTGTTGACCACATGAGATTTTTTTTTTGTTACCCAAACAGTTGGTCGCACTGGTGTGACCAAAGATTTATTTATTTATTTATTTTTAGTCGCATCACTGAAAAATTTGGTTGCATTTGCGACCAAATTGGTCGCACTCTAGAGCCCTGCCTCTCAGTCCTTCTTTCCTTTTCTTATTTTAGTTTCGCTCTCGCTTTTTATGTTTGTTTTCTTCCTTTTTTTTTTTATATCTACCTGTCTGTCTGTCTCTTCCTTGTTCTTATTTTTTAGGCTGAGGTTGGAGTCTAGGAGAATTATGTGAATAGAGTGTGTTCCTGTGCCTGTGTTTTGCCTTTAATTGTTCTCTTCCTCTGTAGTCTGTATGTATATCAATAACATGGGCCTTGTTCTTTGTGCTATAGGAGCTTTACGTGCAGGACTATGCTTTTATAAACTGGCCGGCGCAGAGGAACAACGTGGCAGCATGTGACATGTACACACCTCACAGCACACTCCTCACAGTCGCTTACAGTAAGTCTGACCTGTGAATACCTGCCTCCAGAGCTGCACATTTAAAACAGTTGGGTTGTAATGACTGCTAAGAAAAAATGGACTAACAGATGTTTTGCACAACAGCAAAGCTTTCAGCAGCAGATATGAAGGAAAGAGAAACTGCTGAGTCTGTGTTTCCACAGGCTCCGCTAATTTAGAGACTTATTCCTCATGGAGAACGAAAACAAGACAGAACATCTTCAACCGGTCTTTTACTCGCTAATGAGGGACGGCTTGGTCAGAACCAGGCTGTGGAGCTAAACGCTCCTCACCTGTCTCCAAACCAAGTCCTTCAAAGAGCAGCTCTCCTCACAGCTATTTATTGACAAACTGTTACAATACACATCACAACACAAGCACCTCCCACCGTAAAACCCCCCAATGGTTCTAAAAGACAAGGCACTATGTGTATGTGTGTGCACGTGTATGCATGTCTTTGCATGTGCAAGAACGTGTGTGTGTGTCATGGGGGTGCGTTTGTGTGTCCTCCTGCTCACCAAAACGATCATAAAAGCAGGAAGCTTACAACACAAGAAACAGATCTTTCAGATAAGATGTGCCTAATAAAACCCACGTCAGCCTCCCCCAGCACCAAATTGGCTGGAGAAGTGGTCAGAGACAAAGGAATGTCTTTGATCACACAGTTTAAAACAATGTAGAGATGGTAAGAATAAAAATTACAACATTTACCAATTTACTTTAATAGAAAAGTTTTGTCTGGAGGGTGTTTTACACAGTGAGGATGGTAATAAGTGTTTTCAGTGGGTATTCCCCTCCACTCTCTTCTCTAACCCTGTGACTTTGTTCCTTTTGGCCTGCAGTGGTGTTAAATGTATACGAAGCCCACCACAGTACCACGCTGAGAGGAAAAGCAGTCAAAGAGCTGTATGATCACATCGAGGCCGACGATCGCTACACGAAATGCATCAGCATTGGCCCGGTAACTAATACACAGATACTCGAAGCAAAGAACACAGATTTGTGGAGTTTGAGTTTCTAGGTGCAAAATTTATTTAAATCATCTTATTTAGGCAAGGCAAGTTTATTTATATAGCACAATTCAACAACAAGGTGATTCAAAGTGCTTTACAGAGACATTAAAAACAAAAACAAATAAAAAGCATGATTTAAAATTGTTAAAAAACAAACAAAAAAAACAGTATATAAAATCACAACAGTAGATAAAATCAGTACCGTAGTTAAAATGTAAGTTTGGAAATTTAAGCTTAAAAGTGTGGATTTGGTGCTTTATTCAAATGCAGCTGAGAACAGGTGAGTCTTCAACCTGGATTTAAATAAACTGAGTGTTTCAGCTGATCTGAGGCTTTCTGGGAGTTTGTCCCAGATATAAGGAGCATAAAAGCTGAATGCAGCTTCTCCGTGTCTGGTTCTTCTGACTCTGGGAACTGATAAAAGACCGGATCCAGATGACCTGAGGGATCTGGAAGGTTCATACTGGGTCAGGAGGACACTGATATATTTTGGTCCTAAACCATTCAGAGGTTTATAGACCAGCATCAGAACTTTAAAGTCTATCCTCTGACGGACAGGCAGCCAGTGTAAAGACCTCAGAGCTGGACTGATGTGGTCCACTTTTTTGGTCTTAGTGAGGACTCGAGCAGTTCTGAATGAGCTGTAGATGTCTGACTTATTTTTTTAGGTAGACCTGTAAAGATGCTGTTACAGTAATCAAGCCTACTAAAGATGAATGCATGGACTAGTTTTTCCAGGTCCTGTTGAGACATCAGATCTTTTATCCTTGAAATATTCTTGAGGTGATAGTAAGCTGACTTTGTTATTGTCTTAATGTGTTTTTGTAAGTTTAGGTCTGCATCCATCACTACACCCAAATTTCTCTCCTGGTTTCTGATTTTTAGGTGTATAGATTGAAGTTCTCTGGTGACCTGTAATCGTTTTTCTTTGGCGCCAAAGACTATTACTTAAGTTTTGTTTTTGTTTAGCTGGAGAAAATTGTTACACAACCAGTCATTAATTTCCTCAATGCATTTACCAAGAGCCTGTACAGGGCCTTGGTCTCCTGGTAACATTGTGATATATATTTGTATGTCATCTGCATAGCTATGATAGTTTATTTTGTTGTTCTTTATAATCTGTGCCAGTGGGAGCATGTAAATGTTAAACAGAAGGGGTCCCAAGATGGAACCTTGGGGAACTCCACATGTGATACTTGTCTGCTCAGATGTGAAGTTACCTATTGATACAAAGTATTTCCTGTTTTCTAAGTATGTTTTGAACCAACAGTGTAAAATAAAAAGAGCAACGTGCAGTTAGATATCTGCTGATGGTTCTCCTCAGATCTCCAAGACTATCAACATGCTGGTTCGCTGGTATGTCGATGGTCCCTCCTCTGCAGCCTTTCAGGAGCACGTGTCCAGGATCCCGGACTACCTCTGGTCAGTCAGCCGATCTTGAACAGTTCAGTAATAAAACAAACCAAACTCCAGCTTCAAGAACAACTTCAACTATGCAACATACAGAAAAAAATCATTTACAAAAGGTGTAAAACTGATAAACTTACTGTAAGTTCTCTGTGTACCAGGTTGGGACTGGATGGAATGAAAATGCAGGTGAGAATTTGTTCTGTCTTTGTTTTACCTCTTTAACATTTGAAGGTGTGTTTCTGAGGATCTCTGCACCTCCAGCTTGCAAAAGAAGAAAGAAGAAACTCTTTACTGAGCCTTTATTAAATCCATATTATTCTCACAGCAGAAAGATGTCATTAAGTGTGAGATATAGAGGAGAATGGTGCATCACCGATGTAGAAAGAAGAATCCATAGAATCAGTTTTGCCGACAGCTAAAGTTCAGGTGGTGCATTAATCCAAAGAATAGCCCAAAATCTACTTGAATACATAAATTTATTGCCTTCTAAACACATTGTTTTAGTTTACTTGTTTGTTTCTTGCTTTGGGATTAATCCAATCTCTTTTCTGACACAGGGGACGAATGGATCTCAGCTCTGGGACACCTGCTTTGCTGTGCAGGCTTACCTCGAGGTAAGACAAAGATGACCTCTAATGCTTACAGTAATTTCAACCAAAGCACATTCATGCTCATATGTAAAACCCCTCCAACAGCCCTCCATCTGTATTTGACAAGACTGCTTAAAGAAGTGCTGCCATTAATTAATGCTTCAATCTTAAATATGAGCAGCCTATCTCTAATAATTAGCTCTGTTCCACAGGCCTTCAAGCTGGCAGTAGTTAAATCATTACTTAATCATCCATCCCTTGACTGAGCTGTCTTCGCTAATTATAGGCCAATCTCCAACCTTAATTTCATATGGAATTCAAATCCTTGAATTGTCAAACAGCTAACAGATCATCTGCAGAGGAATGGCTTATTTGAAGTTTCACTCAGGTTTCAGAGCTCATCACAGCACAGAAACAGCTTTAGTGAAGGTTACAAATGATCTTCTTATGGCCTCTGACAGTGGACTCATCTCTGTTCTTGTCCTGTTAGACCTCAGTGCAGCATTCGATACTGTTGACCATAATATCCTATTATAGCGATTAGAACATACTGTAGGTATTACAGGTACTGCACTGCAGTGGTTTTTATCATATCTAACTACTAGACTCCAATTTGTTAATGTAAATGGAGAGTCCTCTTCACACACTAAGGTTAGTTATGGAGTTCCACAGGGTTCAGTGCTAGGACCAATTCTGTTTACATTATACATGCTTCCCTTAGGCAGCATCATTAGAAGGCACAGCATACATTTTCACTGCTATGCAGATGACACCCAGCTCTATCTATCCATGAAAACAGAAAACAGACAGCAATGTCTTAAAGATATAACCTGGATGACCTGGATAACTTTTTGCTTCTAAATTTAGGTAAAATGCACGTTATTGTACTCAGACACAGCTGTGTACCCAGAATTGGGCCCTGAGAAACTCCACATATGAAATCAGTGAGTAAAATTTGATGAGAGTCGAACTAGTCAAACACTGAGCCAACACATAGTCCTAAACGGGACGTCACAATCAACTTTGTCAATAAATATTATCTGGTAACAGAAATGTTACCTGTGTAATTTAGTCCGAGATCAAGACGACCTTGACGAGCTGTTTTAGTGCTGTGTTTGACATAAAAACACATCAGGAAAACTACTTTTGTGTGTTGCAGTTTTGTTTTGTTTTTTTCAGGCAGGAGCTCAGGACGACCCAAAACTAGCTGAATGCCTTCGAGACGCCCATCAGTTTCTCACTATCACACAGGTACAGCAAGGAGATGCACTTTATCCACCGAATGGCTTTGATAATGAAAACAAATTTTTTTGTGTTCTTTGCATATTTATGTGGTGTCTGAATAATCTGAAAAACTAGCTTCTGATTGGGATAATTCACCTAAACATTAAAGTTGGAAACCAGAAAGTAGTACACATTGTTTTAGTAGTATATTTTAGTTTTTCTTCCAGAAATCAAAGAATCCTGAATTATAATCTATGGGTGAATTCCCTAACAGCAATGATGATGATAGAAGTAATACCTTTTAGTGAAAAATGTTTTTTTTAAACTTTATTTGGAGAAACGTTTGCAGATACTTAAGTGATTTTAATCCGATTTGACTGGTGATTTAAACATGCAGTTTCTGTGTCCTGATGACCATTGAAATGTAATTGTATGTTTTAAGATAACGGGCCAAATACATGCTGCATGAGCTTCTAAGATGGCCCCAAGTTTCAAGACTTCATCATTTTATTTTGACACTTTAAAAAATGTTTATTTTAAATGGCTGACCAGTTTTTCGCTCTTACAGATCCCGGAGAATCCTCCTCAATATCAGAAGTACTACAGACAGATGAATAAGGTACAGATATTATCACCCTGCAGTCGCTTTTAACCAGTTTATTTATCATTGTTAAATAAATCACTCGAATGTGCTTTGACGAAACATAAACCGTCTTAAATTTAGCTTATGTGTATAAGTAAAGCATGCACTGCATTTCTTTCAGGGAGGTTTCCCCTTCAGTACCCGTGACTGTGGTTGGATTGTGGCCGACTGCACTGCAGAAGGCCTGAAGTCACTGATGCTGCTGCAGGAGCTCCGCCCCTCCATCAGGCAGCCCGTCCCCTCTGAGCGTCTGTGTGATGCCGTCAACGTGGTGAGTACAAAAAAGGAGGACTTAGTCAGTAAGCCTTTTTTTTTTTTTTTTTTTTTTGTTTACAGTTCATACTCTCCACATCCTGTTTGTGTTTTATGCCCCACACATCCCAGAGATCTGCAGGTCTGCTGCAGCAGGCTTCTGCTCGTATTTTAAATGAACCAAATAAATACTCAGCTCTTAAACTTGACTGTAATTTCTAATTGATTTTCTAGGTTTAACACTCTAATATTACCTTATGTTGCACATTTGACCTCTAATGCCTATCGTATTTTATGTACAGCACTAACTGAAATAAACATTGTTGAAATAAATGTGGAGTGTTGAGAAAAATTGAGAATATCTAAGGCTTCCTGTGAAATCTTGCTGCCATTTCATTTTAAACGCAATTGGAGTGCAAACTGAACTGAAGACCCCGCCCCTCGTCATCCTCTTCTTCATCTTTTCACCATGTTTCTGTTTTTGTAGCTGCTGAGCATGAAAAACACAGATGGTGGATTTGCCACATATGAAACTAAGAGAGGAGGGAGACTCCTGGAGCTGCTCAACCCCTCTGAGGTTTTCGGTGAGTGTGTTGCCAACATCTTACTGAAAAAAATGTCTCTGTCTAAAAGAAACTTTGATTTCAAAGAGTCATGTGAGGAGGAGTTCCCGGCAGTTGCTGGGAATGTCTGAGTCCCTTAAACTGTAAATATGTAGATATGAAAAAGGGAGGCAATAAATATAAACATGACATTTGGAGAGTGGAAACCTTTGTTTCCATTGCGTACTGAAAATGTGGCAATGACCTTTCCAGTAGCAAAGGGCAGAAAGTCAAAGACTGCCTTATTTTCCATTGAAAATGAGGATGCAGAACATGTTGTGAAATGTTTGTTTTTCACTGTTATTTTGTGCCTTGTCTGTCTTTTTCTTTTATCTCTTACGTTCATACACAAACAGGCGACATCATGATTGATTACACATATGTGGAGTGCACCTCAGCAGTTATGCAGGCTCTGAGGCATTTCCAGAAGGTCTACCCTGATCACCGTGCCGAAGAGATAAGGTATAAACACGTTGTTTAGAGGTATGCTATCTCCTAAAACTGTTTTCACACATGCACTGCAATCCTGAACCCTTGTGCACATGACTCGACAGACGGGTAGGTGACAGCAAAGGCTGGACATTAGCTACACTTACTGCCATCTTTTCTGCTCCCTCTCATAAACCCATTGGAGCAAATGTGTCCACAGTGTGAGATTCTTCTGTAATTGTCCAAAGTATTAGCAGGGCTTAAACTAAAGCTGACCTAATAAAATGAGTATAAAACCAAACTGTCTTTTTCTGAAAATATCTTGAGCATATGTGTTTTCTCAGTTGTCGCTTAAGTTCAGGAGGATCCTCTGAGTTTGCTGTGTCTTCTTCAGGTCGACTCTGAGAGAGGGGCTGGAGTACTGCAGGAAAGTTCAGAGACCTGATGGATCTTGGGAAGGGTGAGGACAAAATTAGAGATTTATTACTGGATCTCCTTGGTAGATTTTATATATGAGAGCACCCAAATCCAGAACATTAGAGACAAATTTGTAAAAAACACAAACAAAAAAACGAAATAATAACATAGACATGAAGTTTGTCAGGTTTAGTAAAATCAGCTAAGCTCAAGTCATTTATGTGGTTCTTCAAAACCACAAAGGAATTAGATCACCTGAGATTTATTTATTCGGTGTAACCGTGCATTGAACTGAGAAATTACACTTTGGAAGAGAAAAAGTTTCAGTGCTATTGTTACAGAAAAAATTAAAAACACATCAAGTAATGACCAAGTACACTGAAAGACAACAATTTTATTTAAACAGCGCCAAATCACAACAACACCTCAAGGTGCTTTATATTGTAAGGTAGACCCTGCAATAATACATACAGAGAAAAACCCTACAATCGTATGAGCCCCTATGAGAATCTACAGTGCATCTACAGTGACCAGTTGAGGTGAGAGAAGGAAGACAGGATAAAAGACATGCTGTGGAAAAGAGCCAGAGATTAATAGCAAGTATGATTCAATGTAGAGAGGTCTACTAACACATATTGAGTAAGGCAACTGAAGAAGAAACATTCATTGCATCATGGGAATCCCCCAGCAGCCTACACCTATTGCATCATAACCAACGGAGGATTCAGGGTCACCTGATCCAGCCCTAACTATATGATTTAGCAAAAAAGGAAACCTTTAAGCCTAATCTTAGAAGTAGAGATGGTGCATGTCTCCCGAATCCAAACTGGAAGCTGGTTCCATAGAAAAGGGGCCTAAAATGTTACTAATGTAACTCTTTATTCTCCTGGACAGACGGATGCCACAGACTTTCCTAATATTCCTAAGACAAGATGATGAACAACTAACATGAATCAGTAGCATGCAGGTGCAAGTGCATTAAAGTGCATTTGTAAAAAATGCAGCAGGCTAATCCTTATTGAAATGTGAAAGAAAAACTATTACACCAACTTTCAAAGCTGATCAGGTGACAGAACGGTGCAGCTAATGCTTGTGAACAACAGGTGAAACCGATGAGTAGAACATGAAGTTAAAACAGACAAAGGCAGGAAGTAAAATGATATAAAGGTGTGCAAGGAAAGCCCCAACTATACTGTGAAGATGACTTTTACATTCCTGTCTCATTGCTTAGTTCCTGGGGAGTCTGCTTCACGTATGGGATGTGGTTTGGCCTGGAAGCTTTTGCTTGCATGGGTCACGTGTACGAGAATGGGTAAGATGTAATCACTGACTTTTATACACATTCTCCTACGTTTAAACCGCCCATTGTTCTCCAAAACTTGCTGAACAGCAATGACCTTCTGTGACCTCTAGCCTACATATTTCTTTTTGTATCACATTCTTTGTGAGCAGACATGTGTGCGAAGAGGTGCAGAAAGCCTGTCAGTTCCTGCTGGACCGGCAGATGCCAGAGGGAGGGTGGGGGGAGGACTTTGAGTCATGTGAGCAGCGTCGCTACATCCAGAGTGGCTCCGCTCAGATACACAACACCTGCTGGGCTCTGTTAGGGCTGATGGCTGTCAGGTAACAAAGAGCAACTCACCTTTGGGCTACTGACCAATCAGAAAGAGTCAGAATAAAGATGTGATGTGAGCATTGTGTTAATCGGGTTGTTTAGTTTATGTAATGCATGTTGTGTGTCTGCATAACCAGGCATCCTGACAGGAAGTCCATTGAGAGGGGAGTACAGATGCTGATTGACAAGCAGTTGCCCAACGGAGACTGGCCACAGGTGACTCTCTGCCTTTAAAGGGACAGCGCACCCTAAAAATCAAACACAAATGTCTTCACTCTGTAAAGAGACTTAGCTGCTTAGTTTTTCAAAAGCATTGTTTTAGTGCTATTGGCCCAACACAACGAGTGCCATCTATATGACGACGTTACTACAGCAGATATTTCCAAAACTGGACATGTGTCCCTTTAATCCCTGCATTGATGACCATGTGAAATACAACAGGATTGTTAATGTGTTGTTTTTCTTCTTCCTTTTCAGGAGAATATTGCAGGTGTGTTCAATAAAAGCTGTGCCATCAGCTACACCTCATACAGAAACGTCTTCCCGATCTGGACCCTCGGCCGCTTCTCACGACTTTATCCCACCAGTGGGCTGGCCGGGAAGGTCAAGCTCTGAACAGACTGCATGCCAAAAAACATCAATGTCTCCAACAAAAAATAGAAAAACAACATTTACTGGAACACATAATCTCTGTTTTTAAGTCACACCTGAAATGACTCAATGAACATGCACCATTGATGTGTTTCAGCTGCGAACACGTTTCATTCTTTGAATTACTTCCTGTCCACACAGCCAGAGCTCCTCCTTAAAATCCTTTCTCAGTCTGATCTTAAACATTCATGTACACAAAACAGACTCCTGTCGATGTCGCCTTACATCCCCTTTTACTTGTAGTTTACTCTTTATTTGATCTTAATAATTAAAAAAGAAATACAGAGTTTAGCTTTGTCATCTCTTCCTGAAGTACACAAAACATATTGGCAGACGAGGGTGATGAGGAAGAAACAGTAGAGGAAAGACTCACAGAGATTTTTCATTAACAGGTTCTATGCAGTCAGGAGGGTTTCATGATCCCAGCAAAACTCAGTAACACAAAGCACTGCCACCATCACATCTCATGATGTTTTAACATTTATTTACGCTCACAGTCAACTGTTTTCTGCAACAATGCCTGCATCCCCTACTGCAGCACATAGCTGAGGTTATTGATACCAATCCTACCATTATGTTTTCTAGGCTGAAGTCCAGCAGCTTGTGTGGTAAAGAGTTAATTTATTAGAAGAACTGTGTGTCAAGTGTACAAAAAAAAAAAGCCTTGTGTTGTGGCTTGGTGGCTTAGTGGGAGTGTCACTTTTGGGGGAAAAAAAGTGCACTTGGAAACAAACATAACAAAGCTTCACAACTGGTTAATCCAGTGTGATCCATCTTGATATTTGTTCAGAGTCGGAGGCGTGACAACATGCTAAGAAAGCAGGTTTCACTGCATCTTCTTCAACTCTGTAAAAATATAATATCAGTGCCAAACGAGGTTTCAGGTTAACCTTTGTTTGTTACCTGAAAGGACGGACCAAGTGTATTTGGAGGTATTTATAACAATGGGCAAAATCCTCTAAAAGCCAAGTTGGTGAATTCAAAAATAATTTTTGTGTAATAATTAATCAGCTGAAAAAAGCCAAAGATAAAAACCCACTCTGATGATGGTTATCAACTTTATATATCAAGTTTCTGCCTCAGGATCTGTGCACGCTTCTTGGTGTATGCTCTGTGTTCCATTAGAGGTATTTAACACCTGTACTGATGTATTTTCTGATGATCTGAGTAGGTGGTGATTTCATACCTGCTGATCTCTAATCTGGAAACTAACCTGAAGCCCAAACCAGGTAACAGGAATTCAGCTTATCCAGGAAACGTCAGGGTAACCCCGGGCTTTATGTACAGAGGTGGTTCACTTCTTACCAGGCTCCTGAATCAATTCTCCTAAAATAGCATTACTGTTTCTGAAAGATGCTTCAGACCTCTGCGAGGAGAGTAGGAGCGTCAAGTGTGTGTTTCTCTGATGAGCATAAAATATAAGATTTTTCGCTACAATTTGAATCATTTTAGCATTTATATATGATCCTGAAACCGGACATCCAATCTGTGCCAACCTCCAACCTCTAATTTGCATGCTTGAATTCTGAAGTTTAAACATAATGTTTACTGTCAAACCCTTAAACAGCACCAAGTCTGCAGCTGAGAGAACATCCGGCTCCATTTTATCACCTCAGTGGTAAAATAATTAACTGGAATTAAAATGTTTATTTTAATGTGCAAATAATGAGATGAATAGTTTGCTTTACTCACCTGAGAATATTTAGCATTTCACTGTCATATTTTTATGGTCTTTCTACATTTTTAATTACCATTTCATCATCGTCATCTGACAATGTGTCTGACTGGAGATGGTGACACGCATAGGGATCATAATCATATGATCATGTCAACACATGGGAAAAACCTAAATTAACTTAGTGAGGTGATAACCACTTTAATTCCAACTGCCAATGTTAGGATTGAACTTATGAATGCAACACCTTTAAAACAGTATTGACTTGAGTATGTAGCCCTGCAAACGAAACAAACAACTATTATAAAAGATAAATTATAAAAAAACTTTCTCTGAAGTTCCTGTTTCTAAGGCTGTACAGATATGATATAACATATATAATCACACCTGTTTTGCATGAGAAAAATGCAGGAACAAACAGCCCTGTCAATCACACTGTTCACTCACAAAGTACTTAAGCATGAAATCGAAGTGCATTTGTGTGTTACTCTGACCCGTGTGTTCTTACATCAACATGTAATTCTGGTTTTGTCAGTATGTGCATGGTCAGTTGCAGACTATAACATTATATTTGACCTTTAAATAGGCGTTCAGCATACTTCAGGTTGAGGTGTGGCTTTACATATAAAAAGTGGCAGGTGACAGGTGAGTCAGTGGATCAAATTGCCAGCACGCAGTAAGTTCAACACTTAATCTCTGCTGATGATCGTAAATGTGTATGTTCAGATATAGTATGAATATGTTGTGTTTTATTTTCTAAACAGGTTTCACTGAACTTACAGTGTGTGAGGTTTAAAGTTTGGAAATGGCTGATAAGGGAAAAGGTAAATATCACAGCTCCCATCATTTGTCTTTTTTTTTTAATATTTCCTATATACCCCCAGAAAAGTCAGTCTATCTACCTCAAATTATAGGAGGACCATCTTCAAGGGGGCAAGGAAAAGGCTGTGGTGGACAAGGTGGTGGCAGTGACTTTAGCTGCAGTACTGGCCTTGGCGGAAAAGGTGGTGACAGCAGCCATGAGTTTGGCTGCACTATTAGCCTTGCCGATTGTGGATTTGGCAGAGAAGGTGTTGGTAGCGGTGGACAAGGTGTTGGCAGCGGTGGACAAGGTGTTGGCAGCGGTGGACAAGGTGTTGGCAGTGGTGGAAATAAAAAGAAATGTGAGCATGAGTATAAGCGCACACACAAGCACATCAGATGCCACAAGAAGGGAAGGATGGTTACGGGGTGAGACTGAATATTACTAATGTGCAGATTTTATCCAAAACAGGAAATATTCAGTATTCAGGTGCAAGTGAAGTGTGACATGTTTGTATAATACATCCTGAAAAAGATCACTGAAATACTGTTATTCATAAGATGTTTTCAAAAGGTTATTCAGCAGGTAGCAGGACAGCAAATGCACACTTTAAGCCAATTTTAAGGATATTTTGAGGTCAAAGGTGAAAAATAAACCCCTCATCCTAACCACTGAGCCAAAAAGAGTTAAAAAACTGAATTTAGAATCAGTGTGAGGAATTCACCAGGTATCATCTGTCTCTTCTCCAGGACTTCAGCAGCTCCTGCAGCAGTGACTCTGACTAGATGAACATTTCTGGAGGGACCTGCATGGAAACATTAGTATCTAATCCTTTACTTAAAAATCGTTTGACAAATATAAGAAAAAATAAGTTAAATATAAATAATGTGTAAAACAGAAGGCTGATTCACATATTTAAAAAAGCTGCGCCTTAAAGCAAAGCCTGCTTCAGTGTCACTTTTGCTTTTAATTGGAACATAATTTTAAAAAAATAACTATATGTTTTAGAACTAAAGTCACCATAAAGACACCTGGAAAGTGTTTACTGAGATCATTTGTCAGAAGCAGGTATATTTTTGAAAATGTGCCAATAAAATTCTGAAATAATAAATATGTAAACTGATTAATCTTCTCTGGTCTGTGTCATTTTTTTGTGCCAAAGTCCTTCTACAGAGCCAAACTTTTTTTGGCCATGAAAAGAATACAGGTTTGAGACAGTTTTACATCAGCGCACCAGGAAACTATCTCTATGTTTTACATATAGTCTATGCAACAACACTGGACATAGCAATAATAACACATCACAAACACAAAGACCATGATTTATTAGTAGTGACACGGTAATTATTTGTTAAGTATTTTATGAAATCTGTGTGTATCGATGTGTCCATGCTATTTTTTAGTTTTATGGACATAAACCTGTTTACACAGTCACCAGTGTGGACTTTGCACCGTTATAGAGAAAAAAATACACAGGAAGTTGATGAGTAGTTTATAGTAATTACACTGTGGTGTGGCTTTCTTATGTTTTTATATTTTTATATACATTGTCTATTTATCCATTCGCTTCCGCTTATCCTTTTTGAGGGTCGCGGAGCGGGTGGAGGCTGTCAGCTGTGGTACGGCGAAAGGCAGGGTATTTTGACCTGTTTAAAATCATTCAAATAAACTTTTTGTCTTATTCACAGTGAATCTTTCCTTTTAGTTAAACTATTCTCTCATATTAACAGGTAACGGGTGAGCAGAGCCATCATTGATGGTGATACAGAAGCCTGTAGCAGGAATACTGACGGGGGCTCCTGAATACTCAGTACCCATCTTATCTTAAAAACCTCATAGTACTGTATCATTCCATTAGAGCACTTCACCCTCAGACTATGGGCTTACTTGTGTGTAACTCATGACTCTAATAAGACAACCTAAAAGTATCGACTAGGTGCCAGGTTTGAGAGGATTAGAATCCGGTTGTTCAGTGATGACACGACGAATCCTACTTCCGGGCCTAAAGTATTCTGCGTTTAATATGGCTTTTGTGTTGTTAACATGTTTAATGTTATGTATTTTCTTCTATTTGATCTCAAAAAGCTCCTAAAACAGTCAGTGATCACTGTTGACCTCCCTCGGCTTTTATTACCGCTAATCATTTATTTAAGCTCAGTTTTTAAAACCTTAGGATGTAACTACAGCCCAGCCCATGCAGGAGTATATGAATGACTAACCTCGTATTGTGGATGGATTATCTCAGTTGTTCTCCTGGCTGAAGTTTGGTCCTTTTACAGCATCCTGCCATGCGATTACATTTGTTCCTGACCACCGAGAACACTCACGTTAACTTTTATCGAGTGGAAAAAAAGTTAGCTTGTTTATATTATGCTAACATAGCTGTGTCGCTAGCGGTCACGTAGCACATCATTATATACCAGCTAGCCCAACTTCAGTAACCCTACAAATGTCACTGCTTTTTAGTTTTCTGTCTTCATTTATGCTGGAAGTGATAGCAGAGCTGTACGTTTTAATTTGTTTCCAAAACCTCGCAGTCAGGACATGCTATATTGTATTTAGATAGAAGCTAGCGAGCTAACTCCCTGCTAACTTCTAACTCCGTTAAATGTCATAAATTCCGTTTTCATGGATGCCTGGATGCTAAACTCAATTGTTACACCTGGTAGAGCAGAACGCTGATCATTTTATTAAAGATGAAAGACTTTAGACAGTTTTTCAACTCTCAGTAATGCCATGTGATCGTTTGATATATGGACCTGCAGCGGAGTTTATGTCCAGACACGGCTAGTAGTGATGGGTCGTTCGCGAACGAAATGGCTCTTAGAGCCGGCTCTTTGACGTGAACGACGCGAGCCGGCTCCTTATCGGCTCCTTAAGAAGTACAGAGTTTGGTTCTTCCTATAAGTAGACAAAACATCTGTAGATGAGGTTGAGGAGGAAGAAAAAGTAGGGGAGAGAGATTGTTTATTAACAGGTTCTATACAGGTTCTATCAAGTGAGGAGGGTTTCAGGATCCCAGCAAACTAAAAACGTGACAAAAAGTCCATGCTGAAATCTGGACACCTTAACTTTTATGGTGATTCACACTTAGTTACAATTAAAAATGCTTGCAGGTAACCTGCACACTAGTCTCCTCTGCCTTTTGAAATGTAAGGATGTGTGGTGGAGGACAAAGATAAGACTGGCCATGGTAACTACTCTTTTATTTCTGCAGGTGAAAAGTGCATGAATAAACAAAATACAAGATGTGCTCAAACACAGGACAGACTAATACGTTTTGGGAAGAAAAACACAATGGATGGCAAAATGCAGGAAGTAAAAGAAGAAGAGAAGACAGAAGAAACAATTCTAAAACAGGAAGCGACCCAAAGATAACAGAACTACACTGAGAAACTGAGTAATGCTAAACAAGTTGACAGGATGGCAAAAAGCAGAAATGAATAGAATAGAATACATAGCACACTTCGAGCTATAGGAGCTTCCTTTGACAGAAACCACGGATCTTTCCTTGTGTTGAATTAAAAAATGTTCATCCAGACAAATGTGAGACAACAGGCTAGAAACTATGGTGCGACGTGCCCATAGACATCTGACACTTTTGTACCGGTATACAATTTTTTTTAGAGAAACTAAGCAGCAACATCTCTTTGCACTCAGACTGTACCTTCAGGGATACAGTAGTTTAAAATTTACAGGTTTTTTTAAATGGTTTTTACTCATTTTCTGTCACATACATCCTGTTAAAGTGGTGGGTGTTCACTGAGCATGAGAAAAGGATCAAACCAGGAGGGCAGTATGTACAAGTTTTTATATTCTCTTGGCTCTGTATGATGACACAGATAGGGCATACTGTTATATAGTTGTCTCAGCACACAGTTCAGGCTGAAAACCCAGCAGTTGAAAGCTTCTGTGTATGAGAGGCAACCAATCAGAAGAATGATTTCTTAAGGGGGGAGGAACTAAAAAAAAAACGTTGGGTACACACTGAGGGGTGGTACAAGGATCCTGTATAAGATAAATGAGGATTATTCTGAATTCTGAATTATACAAAGCTACTCTTGCAGAGAGCAGAGGATGTCCTGCGTAATCTAAATGAGCCTACAGTTATTACACCACCACCACCAGAGAACTTTAAAATAAACAATTTTTCCTCATTGCTTACTCGGATAAGGCCAAATGTTTGTTTTTGGTTTTTAACAATTTGACTCAGTAACATGAAGCACAGCCACCATGACACGGACGTCCCGTGATGTTTTATCCTTTATTCACAGTCACAGTCAACGAGTTCGACTGCTTTCTGCAGCAATGCCCTGCCTCACCTAATACAGCACATAGCTGACGTCATTAAAACCATTCCTGTTATTCCATTATGTGCATGTTTTTTTTCAGGCTGCAGTCCAGTAGCTGGTGTGGTCATGACGAATGTTTTGTTTTATTAATGTGTTTTAATAACTGGGCACATAATGTACAATTGAAAGCCTTGTATTGTGACTCTGTAGCTTAGTGGGTGCTGCTTTTTAAAAAAGAGCGTTCTTGGAAGCAAATGGTGATTCGAAATGTATAAAGAACATAAAAATATATCAGTAAAACGTTTATAGAAATAAGATGAGAGATTAAAGTTACTAATATGGTGATTCAGCACATAAAACAGTAAAATGAAAGTTTTAATTCAGGTTACTTCTTTTACCTCTGAGCGCGCTCTCAGTGCAGCTGTTTATTTCTAAGGTGACAGCTGCTCATTAGCGCTCTGAAACTTTAAACTGGATCCATTTAAACTTTAGATTTATTAAACTGTATTTCGGTGTATGCTCTGTGTGCCAGCAGGTGTCTTCCAGGAACAGTGACGCTATTGTCCGAGGATCTGATTGGTCAGCATGTGGTGATTTCTTATCTGTTGATATGTGAAAACTAACCTGAAGCCGGCACCAGGTAGCATGAATTCATCTTACCCAGGTAACTTCAGGTTTAACCTGGGATTTCTGTACTAAAAGGTGAATCACCCTAGTAACATGAGAACCTAATCTGTTCAGTGAGCAGGTTCAATCAGTTCTCCAGAAACAGCATCATCATTCCTGGAAGCTACCTCAGACCTCTATGAGGACAGTAGGAGTGTCAGGTCTTTGTGTTTATTACTGATGAACATCAGTCATAAATAATGATGCAACTGTATTTTTTATTTGTTCTTAGTGTTTTATAAGCATTTATATATGATCCTGAAACAGGACATCTACACTGATTTGCTGAATTATGAATGTAGACTAAGTCCATGTTTGAGTTCTGGTTTGTGAATGTAATCTTTACCCTCAAACCCTTTAAATGCATTTTACTCTTATACTTTTGTGATATTTATATATTTTTTAAATCTCCATTTAATCACCATCATCTGACGACGTCTTTGACTCGAGATGGTGACACTCATTTTCTGTGGAAGAAGAGTCATATGATCATGTGAACATATAGGGGGTCAACTGGGGTATCCCAGCTGACAATATTAGAGTAAGTGAATCTAGATAATGGAAAAATACCGAGGGGATGTTTAACACCGTTCATAGTAGAGCTCTCCATGACAAATGTAAATGAAAGAATTGACAAACAAAAATGGCTAATCATCATAATTTCAACCATAAAATGTTAACAGCTAGACCAGGTCCCTTTATTTATGGATGCAATGCCTTTAAAACAGTTTTGTTTGTGTAGCCATATCAACAAAACAAACAACTCTAAGAAAAAAAACAAAGTTTTCTATGAAGTTCCTTTTCTCTGAACAGATCTGGGTTTTTGTTCCTGGTATCATCACACCTGTTTGGCACGAGAAAAATGCAGGAACAAAGAGCCCTGTTAATCACACTGTTCACTAAGTAACTGAACATCAAATCTAAGCGTATTTTTGTGTTACATTGAACTGTGGGCTCACGTGTGTAATGGGTGTTCAGCATGGGATAGGTTGAGGTGTGGCTTTACATATAAAGAGTGGCAGGTGACAGGCGAGTCAGTGGATCAACTTTCCGGTGAACAGTAAGTTTAACACTGAATCTCTGCTCGTGATAATAAGTATATATGTAATTTGTAATTTTTTTATGTTTGAATATATTGTGTTTTATTTTCTGAACAGATTTTGGTGAACTCAAGGATCTGAATTTTGCAGTTTTGAAATGTTTGGTAAATACACAGCGCTCATCATGTGTGCTTTGCAGATTTGATTTTTCTTTTAGAATTTATATCCTAAAGATTTAATTTATGACTAATTCCAGGGCACGGACATCATGGACATGGCCACCATGGTCACCACGGCCACCACGGCCACCACGGCCACCATGGTCACCACGGACATGGTAGTGGCTTTCTTAGTGGACTTCTCAACCTCGGCCTCAGGCATCCCGGAGTTGGTGGTCACCATGGGGGATATAGTGGTGGCTATATGGGATATGGTAATGGCTATGGGGGATATTGTAATGGCTATGGGGGATATGGTAATGGATATGGGCACCACGGGCTCCATGGACACCATGGACACTATGGGCACCATGGACACCATGGACACCATCATCCTGGATGTTAAGAAGCGTAGGTGCAGACACAGGGGAGGACACGGGCACCTGTTCAGCCACAAGAAGGGGAGGGAATATCATGGGTAAGTCTGAATACTGCAGCAGTAAATATTTTATCCACAACAGGAAGTAGATGTTATTCAGCTGCAAGTGAAGCGTGACATGTTTGTGTAATACATCCTGAAAAAGATCACTGAAATTCTCTGTTATTTATAATATATGTTTGAAAGGTTATCACCATATATAGTGGGGCAAAAAAGTATTTAGTCAGCCACCGATTGTGCAAGTTCCCCCACTTAAAATGATGACAGAGGTCAGTAATTTGCACCAGAGGTACACTTCAACTGTGAGAGACAGAATGTGAAAAAAAAATCCATGAATTCACATGGTAGGATTTGTAAAGAATTTATTCGTAAATCAGGGTGGAAAATAAGTATTTGGTCACCTCAAACAAGGAAAATCTCTGGCTCTCACAGACCTGTAACGTCTTCTGTAAGAAGCTTTTCTGTCCCCCACTCGTTACCTGTATGAATGGCACCTGTTTGAACTCATCATCTGTATAAAAGACACCTGTCCACAGCCTCAAACAGTCAGACTCCAAACGCCGCCATGGCCAAGACCAAAGAGCTTTCGAAGGACACCAGGAAAAGTATTGTAGACCTGCACCAGACTGGGAAGAGTGAATCTACAATAGGCAAGCAGCTTGGTGTGAAAAAATCAACTGTGGGAGCAATCATCAGAAAATGGAAGACATACAAGACCACTGATAATCTCCCTCGATCTGGGGCTCCACGCAAGATCTCATCCCGTGGGGTCAAAATGATCATGAGAACGGTGAGCAAAGATCCCAGAACCATGGGGGTGGAAACATCATGCTATGGGGCTGTTTTTCTGCCAAGGGGACAGGACGACTGATCTGTGTTAAGGACAGAATGAATGGGGCCATGTATCGTGAGATTTTGAGCCAAAACCTCCTTCCATCAGTGAGAACTTTGAAGATGAAACGAGGCCGGGTCTTCCAACATGACAATGATCCAAAACACACCGCCCGGGCAACAAAGGAGTGGCTCCGTAAGAAGCATTTGAAAGTCCTGGAGTGGCCTAGCCAGTCTCCAGACCTCAACCCCATAGAAAATCTGTGGCGGGAGTTGAAAGTCCGTGTTGCTCGGCGACAGCCCCAAAACATCACTGCTCTCGAGAAGATCTGCATGGAGGAATGGGCCAAAATACCAGCTACTGTGTGTGCAAACCTGGTAAAGACCTATAGTAAACGTTTGACCTCTGTTATTGCCAACAAAGGTTATGTTACAAAGTATTGAGTTGTATTTTTGTTATTGACCAAATACTTATTTTCCACCCTGATTTACGAATAAATTCTTTACAAAGCCTACCATGTGGATTCATGGATTTTTTTATTTTTTTTCTTCACATTCTGTCTCTCACAGTTGAAGTGTACCTCTGGTGCAAATTACTGACCTCTGTCATCATTTTAGGTGGGGGAACTTGCACAATCGGTGGCTGACTAAATACTTTTTTGCCGCACTGTAGCAGGTCAGCAAATATACACTTTAAGCCAATTTTAAGGATATTTTGAGGTCATAAGTGAAAAATAAACCCCTCATCCTAACCACTGAGTCAAGAGTTTAGAATTTAGAATCAGCATGAGGAATTCACCAAATATTATCTGTCTCTTCTCCAGGACTCCAGCAGCTCCTGCAGCAGTGACTCTGACTAGATGAAGATGTCTGGAGGAACCTGCAAGGACACATTACTATCTTAGCCTTTCCTGTCTCATTTCTTTTAATGTTTACTTAAAAATAACTTTAACAGATGTAAAAATACATTAAACTTAAAGAATATGTAAAACAGAATGCTCATTCACATATGAATAAAAACTGGATATCTGGGTTTGTGGAGTATCATTTTGAGCCTTGAGCTTTCCTATGTTTGTTTTTGAATTAGAACATGACAAGAGTGGCTCAACTCTACCTGAGAAACTGGGGAAACTGCATTCTCACGGGGTAGCAACCTGTCAGTCACAAGGCAGCTCTGCCTTAACGCAAAGCCTGCTTCAGTGTCTCTTTGCTCTGGAACATGATTTTCAAAAATAACATGTTGTAGAACTAAAACCATCTGGAAATTGTTCACCGAGTTCATAAATCAGAAGCAAGTATATCTGTGAAATTATGCAATTAAATTCTTTTGCACCTCGCTGCCCCCTGCTGGTCATCAAAGAGAATGCAGTTTTTTTAGTGTTGGGAAAACAAAATCTAGAGTCTACATTCATCTTTTTGTACACACACTTTGTGTAAACCTATAATCAGCTTCCGCTATATGGTTATCTTGTGTTGAAAAAATAAATATGAAAACTGATTATTCTTTTCTGGTCTGTTCAGTTTTTTTGTCTGATGTCCTTTTACAGAGCCAGGACTATTTTGGACATCTCCGTTTGGTACCAGTTAGCTCACCTGCTAAATAATGCCAAACAAAGAGAGCATATAACCCCAATTTTTTTTTAGCTTTCTGTCTCCTACAGGATCCAATTTAAACTTTTAGTTTTTGTTCTTAAGTCACTTAACACCCAAGCCCCTTCTTACCTGCCTGAGGTCCTTTCTGTTTATGCTCCAGGAAAAACCATGAGGTCTAGCTCAAAATTAATGCTATCCATCCCACGGACTAATCTCAAATCTCGTGGCGATAGAGCCTTCTCTGTGGCAGGTCCCAGACTTTGGAATAGTCTTCCTCTAAATATTAGACTTGAACAAACACTTGATTAATTTAAATCACTGCTAAAGACATATTTTTATGTCCTGGCTTTTAACACACAGCTTTATGCAGCATCGTCTGTCTGGAAAAGTGCTATATAAATACATTTGACCTTGACCTTGATCAAAAAAATGACAGTTTGAGGCACTTTCACATCAGCAGACCAGCAAATTGTCTCTATGTTTTGAATATAGTCTATGGAACAAGATCGGACATTCCAATTGTAACACAGCACAAACACAAAGGCTGTGATTTGATGATGATGATTCCCTAATTTCCCTCAGGATTAATAAAGTATTCTGATTCTGATGATTTATTAGTAGCTGCACCAGACACAGATCCTATGAAATCCATCATTGTGTTTGCTGGGATTAATTTAACAAATGATGGCATGACATCTTGTGGTGGGAGTTCAGGCTTGCCCCTGATGATGTAAGATGGATTTCATAATAGAGGTGTGGCTTTATAAAACGGCAGGGTCAGCTGAACGCTGTGTCTGTTGATCTGCAGTGCAACACACAGTAAGTCCATTCGTGGATATGTAGGAATAATTACCATGAAATATGTGTTTATGCATCTGGTACTATTTCTAGTTTTATGGACAAAAGTCTGTTTACGAGTGTGAACTTTCCTTCTGATGAGTAGTTTATAGTAATTATACTGTGCTGTGGCTTTCTTATATATTCATTTCATTTGTTCATACATCGTATGATTCTATATTTTAACCAGTTTAAAAACATTTAACTAAACTTTTGTCTTTTTCAAGGTGGATTTTTCTTTTTATCCGTCTTCTCTGAGTTATCATTACAATTAAACTTTTCCCTTACATTAACAGGTAACGGGTGACACCACGTTTTTTGAGTTTCTGGTTTTAGATCAGATCATTTGACATGTTCAGGCATAACAAAGGTAAAGAAATCACTTTTATTTCCTGATTCCTCAGTTGTTTTTGTAAATATTTATTCATTGAATTTTAAGGAGCAAAATTTTATTTTTAAAAGGAGGATGTCAACCTCATCCAGTGCCAGGAGGATGTCCACCAGGCCCTGCCCCACCACCTTCATGTCCACCTCAGCCTGGTCCATTTGGATGCTGTCCAGTGACCTCACCTTGTGGAGAATCTGGAGGTCATGGCCACGTGGTAGGACCCGGCTGCGGATCTACTCATGGACATGGTGATGGGCATGGTCATGGCCACGGTCATGGACACCACGGTCATGGACACCACGGTCATGACCATGGACATCATGGTCACGGGCATGGCCATGGACATCATGGTCACGGGCATGGCCATGGACATCATGGTCACCACCACAAGCATAAACATGGCCACAAGCATGGTCATTGCCACAAGAAAGGAAAAAAGTGTCATGGGGTAAGATATGATTATTTATGCAACAATGTACATTTTGCTATGCTATTAGATCTGCTTTATATTTTCTTTAGTTTCTGTAATAAAAAATACTCAACAATATTAGAGGGAGAACCAAAAGACAGTCCAAAGATCACCTATGAGCAACACTTGATGAGAGTAAGTTTTGTTCTAAGGGGAAGAGACCTCGGGCAGAGTCCCTGTAGCTGCATGTGCCTTCATTTATAATACCAGTGTCAAACCTATGAGTAACTTAATAGGTTTGCTCAAATTCATGATCACACACAGATTTTGACACAAATCTGCGGCTTCCCGGAGCTCCACACAACCTAAGACTTATTGTTTTGGTTTTCATGACTAGTGCTTTAGAGTAAAGGTTATTAAAGCCAGTGTCCCAGCTGTGAACATTTGGGAAGGGAAAGGCTACGAACAGGGTAGAATTCAGGAGTGCAGCACTGCACTACTGAATAGCAGTTCAAACAGAGGTGAGGTATGATGACACTAGCAAGTTTGCGCAATCCTTCCTGAAAACCGATTTTCAGTGAAGCATTTTATCCAAGTGTAACTCACCAAGTATCGACTTTCAACACTGATGTTTTTATAACTTGCTCAGTCTTGTCTGAATTTGTCACAGTTGGTCACACTGAGCCAACAACCTTGATGATCTGATGCCATCACTTTTACAGTAACTCAGAATGGAGGATATAAAACTGAGATTAAATCAGTGTGCTAGATACTTTCAGAGTATTTAAAATATCTTGTGTTTATCCCTCCTGCAGTCCTCCAGCAGCTCCTGCAGCAGTGACTCTGACTAGAAGACTTCTCCATGAAACACATTCCACCTGGAAATCTTCGTGACACATTACAAAAATCATTTTTATGATGTAAAAATCTTGTGTTTACTCAAATATAAACCTGTTTTTGGCCCAAGAAATGCAAACACACTTTTAGATCATGTAAAACACACAGTGAGCCTATAATGGTGACTTTGTATCTATCTCTGTGGTAATAAATTTGAATTTGAGAACAAAGATGTATTTATTTTCTTTATGGCCTCTTTCTCACTTTTATGTGTGTCCTGTTATAGTGGTGGGTACTCATATTAAACATGATCCCTGTGCAGCCCCTGCTGGCCTAGTGGTGCATGAGTCTTTGTGTGCTGCATAGGCTTAACTACTGTTTATCTATACTTGAGAAGGTGCAACTAAAATCAGTGTGCAGCTGTGTTAGGAGGACCACTCCTAGATTAGCTTAGGTTATTAGGCTATTTGATTAAGATCTGCTGACTGTGGATGCCATTGAAGCACAGAGAACTCATTGTCATGCTTAAGAAACCAGTTTGAGAGTATAGGGGTTTTGTCATGTGGTGTGTTAACATGGTGGAAGAAGGTGGGCACTCTGTGGTCATAAAGGGATGGCATCAAAGCTCCGGCAGGTTGTGGTGTTTAAATGATGCTCAGCTGGTAGTAGAGCCTCTGGCTCTTTTACAGCAGTCAACGTGCTGACGTGAAGCAGACTTTAAATAAATGTAACAAGCAGAGGGTTGTTCCTAACAGTATCTGAGTTAAATTATGATCATTCAAGTGTTTTTTGTATTATACTAAATCAATCTTAAAAACAGTCAGTCCCCACATTTGTGCCACTTTATATTTGACCTCAGCTGTTCTGCTTCCTCTCTGTGCCTTATCTTTATTTACTCAGGGCAGGTTGGACCTTTGTTCAGTGCTGTTTTTCTCCTAACTGTTACACACCCTGCAGCTCCCAGTACAGTCACTTTAATTCAGTTTTTTATCACAGTTTATGGTTTCTTTTGTGCCATTTAATCTGTGTACTGCATCCTGTGGATGGAAACTTTGTGTCTTAATTCCAATGGGTGGTGCATTTTTTATATCTGATTACAACAAAAAGTGTGCTCAGTGCACAAGTGAGATTAATTTCGCCTTAAGCCTGGAAATATTAATTTCTGTGAGAAAAGAATCATCTTACGTATGAGTTTAGATTTCAGGGAAATGCAGCAGACATGTCTCTCCCAATATTACATGTATTTGTACTTTCTACCCCCAAATGACACGATGAAAGAAGTCAAGGACTACTTCTGAATTGCAACGTGGTGCTTTATTTTCATGATTAAGAAATTTCCATCACAAACCAGTGCAGAATTCAGCAGAAATGTAACGTGTCTCCTTCAATAATAATATGAAACCTGCACCGATGCGCCTGTGTGTTGACTGTGCATAACGTCTGTGCAGATGCTCAGCTTTATAAGCATCAACAGGTGACACCAAGTATTCAAAAGTTTTGCAGGACTGCAAACGATTAAAAAAAAAACTCTAACCACAGGGCAAAATAGATCATGTGGGTCTGTGGGTGTGCACTCTTATAAAATCTAGTTTGCTGACTGTATATTAATGATTGTACACACACACCCATGTAGGTCATAAAACAGAAAATAGTCTGATAGGAGTTCAGACTCAGCCCCTGCTTCAGGTTCAGCTGCACATAAAAAGCAGCAGCAGGTGACGTCTGCATCTGCAGATCTGGTCTCAGCACTCGGTATGTTCACCTGTGATGCACCTGTGATACACCTGTGATACTCTTGTCTTTGTGTTCATTAAAGATTTTAATTTAAAATCTGTGTTTTTATTCTTCAGGACCTGCAGTTTCTCCTGGTAACGCAGCAAAATGTACGGACACAACCAAGGTAAACACGACTCTTTTAGATCGCCCCCTCAATCATCACCTTGAACTTACAGCTGATTCCTCATTTCTCCTTTTTTTTAGGCCCACCTGGTTACCCGAACTATCCTCCGCAGGGGGGTTGCCCTCCGCAGGGGGGTTACCCTCCACAGGGGGGTTACCCTCCACAGGGTTATCCTCCAGGGACTGTCCCACCAACCTGTCCTCCTCAGCACCATGGGCCACATGGAGGACACGGACATGGGCACGGACCTGGTTCTGGTTGTTGTCAAGGCCAAGGATCCTGCCAAGGGCACGGGCACGGACATGGGCATGGACACGGACATGGACATGGACATGGACACAAGGACAAGAAAAAGGACAAGAAAAAGGACAAACATAAGCACAAGCACGGTCACAAGCATGGCCACTGTCACAAGAAAGGAAAGGACAGCCACGGGGTAAGACTGATTGCACCGAACCACAAATTCAAAGTGTGACATATAACATAAGAAATTTGTACAACACAACCAAATTGTGGACTTGCAACTCACAGGAAAACACAGAAATGTATTTTTCATAGTGCTTTTGCAAAACTTGCAATACCTGCATGACAGCCTTTTTTAAATGCTAGATAAACTTTGACAAACTGAGCTTCTCGTGAGTTTTGATGAATAACACGACTCATGTTCTCTGTTGTAGTCTTCCAGCAGCTCCTGCAGCAGCGACTCCGACTAGATGGAAAAAACCCGGAAACCTTCATGCTCCTGTCTCATCATTTTGAGCTTTGACACAGTTTTGCTTAAAAAAAAAAATCAGTCCAGCTTTTGTCAGAAAATAATAATAATCTAAACTTTGATAGATACCAAATGAATCATCTGTCAAGTTACTTTAGATCATTGTGAGCTTTAACAAGCATTATTTTTATCCAGTGTTTGTCAGCAAAGAAATAAAAGTGATTTCAGTGCATGGTCAGTTTTTTTTTAAAAATTAATCTCACCCTGTCTTGTTTTTATACAATATCCCGTATCCCTTTGTTTTTTTTTATTGGTTTTGTTTGACCATATAACCAAACTTTATTTACCCAGGTGACTGAACTGATTTGATCAGCCACACCTTGCTCACAGCGGTGTTCCACACCCTGAAACTTCCACTGTTGTGATTCTTATCTCATGATAGCTAGCCGTTTACATGGAAAAGTTCAGACCTGCTGCCTCTTGTTTTTGCATGTAGAAATGTTACTGAAAGGTGCACATTCACTCTGTGGTGAAGATAAATTCATTCTTTATTTAAGCAGAAAAACTGCTTAATGTAAATATAATTTGAAGTTTAACACAAAAAATATTAGCAGAAAAAAAACTAAATTGATTCCACTTCAATGTGCTTATTTTTTTTCTTGTTGCAAAGATAACTGTGTGTACAGTACACCTAGGGGTACTTTGATATTTAAATCATATTTTTAAAGTTGTTCATATAGTTGGTTTGCAACAATATGTCTTTAAAGGAGCCTCAGTAGATAAAACTCAAGCCAATACTAGGAATACTTTATCTCTATCCTCAAAGTTCAATATGTTTCCCACGACAGCGTTGCTCTGAGTGCTCACAGGTTAATAATTAAGGATTTATTATGTCTGGAAAATATACTCAGACTTGTGGGTTTTACTGTGCTTTCTTATGAATAAGGGGCTGACCAATTTTAGCTTTTGTTTATTTTATTTTATTAAATTCACTTGTGTATTGTTGATGGGTTATAATGCGGAAATGTTGGTTTAAACAAACAAATAATGAGTATTTATTTGGTGTTAAGCAAAAAAATCTATGAAGCAGGAATGCAAAGACTCAAAACAGGGAAACCAACAGTGATCTGGTGAAGAGCAACAGGTAGGCCAGACTACATGGACACAGGGAGTGAAATACACAGTAAACAACTGATAACAACAGGAGGGAGGAGGGAAAAGGAATCTAGATGCCAAAAAACACCAAATGTTTGGCATAAAACAGCAAATAACCAAACAGCAACTGACACTAAAGAGTTAGAGACAGGAAAGCTCAACATAACTAGAGTGGTAATAAAATCAAAACCAGAGCCAGAAACAAAACCCTGGAACTACAACACATGATATCAGACATGAAAAAATTCACTTAGCTTGTTTAAAGCACACAAAAGCAGACAAAGAGGCAGATTATTGGGTTCCAGCAAAGGAGAGGCAGGTATTACTCACAAAAAATACTTACTTACTTGTGCAAACCCAGCACTTTTGGACAAAGTGACTTTATTAATAAAGAGACCTCATTGATGCGTACGGAAGCGTAGTACGGAAGCGTAGAGCTGCCACCCAGGCAAAAGAAAAATACAAGTGTATCACGTTATAACGTGAAAGGTTTATTGTTCTAACAAGACACTTTTCCTGTTTGTACAATATACTTTTCATGTTTACAATATATTGTACGAACGTGATAATTATGTATATTGTAATAACGTGATATTATGTTGTTCAAACATGAAAAGTATATTGTACAAACAGGAAAAGTGTCTTGTTAGAACAATAAACCTTTCACGTTATAACGTGATACACTTGTATTTTTCTTTTGCCTGGGTGGCAGCTCTACGCTTCCGTACATTCCAGCTGTGGAGAGACTAGCACATCTGTATTTCTTTACTAAAATGTTCTCTGCGTTTTGTTTTTTATGCCACGTGTTTCTCTTAATCTGGGCCTTTGAGTCTGTAATAAATATGTGTGTCGTCTTCACTCGCCAGCAGGTGGCGGTGTGGCACAAATACACCGCGGAGAGACGCTCTGGCGTCACCGACACCCACCAATCAGCGGGAGCTCATCCCCGCTTCCAGGAAGTAAACGTTGAAACTCGAGGCTGTAGAGGTTCTGCTATTGACCCCGCGGCACAGGTCAAAAATCATCATGTCCCTGACGGTCCTGACGTCTGCGTACAGGTACGAGCCTCACCTGGGAGGTGCAACCGGCTTGTTTTTCCTCTGGCACATTTAAATGACCGTCTCTGCTCATAAACGAGCTATGGACGGCACAAGTAGATACACTAAAGTGACCCAGCAGGTTTGTTCACCAATATAAGGCTGTCAGCTGATTTCCTGCACTCACCTGCTAGGACTGGTTGTGTGTTTGTAGCCGGGGTATCTGCTACCCCGCGGTGTAAGTTGAACCAGTTAATTCAGATCTGCTTATTAACCGTCATCAATGCTCCGTGTGTTTGCTGTTTCCTCCAGACTGAGGTCCCTCTGCAGGCTGCAGCGAATCCAGGCTCACATGGTGAGAAGTTGTAGCAGCAGCATGGTCCACTGCCGCCTCTGATTATTTCACTCACATCAGACATGCGCAGG